GTTGTAATACAGTTGTGAGTCCTGAAAATGTGAGTTCAGTTATAGAATGCGGTTGTCACCCCCGTAAATAACTGTATTGTGTGAACGTAACCATGTTAAGGACCCAAATACAGGACTGACAAGTGACAACTGTATTCTGCATATTCTGCTGCTGTGAACGTGGCTGTACATGCAGCAGTGATGATTTGGGTCTGTCATAAATGATTTTAGCAAATGGCTGCAATATAACACAGTGAAAAATTGAAGGGGGTCTGAATACTTTCCGTACCCACTGTATATATACACATATACTGTATATAATGTGTGTGAGTAAAATAGGAAAAATTACACCTGTAATTTCAAAGTGAAGGCTTATAATAAACCCTAAAAGCACTCTCTTTCTCCCCCTTCTTGAACAACCAGCCAAACTCTCAGATTGGTCCCGAACTGCTCTTAAGCCAAGACTCCTACGTAGAAATTTAAGCTAAATTGGGAGCTCTGAGAGGATTCTTAGAATCTGTGAGAATACGGGCCCAGATAGGCTAAGTGAGGGTGATTTACAGTTCACTGTTTTCAGTCAACAAGGAAAGTTGTTAAAAACAACTATAGATCACTGCACACTTGGTAAGCAATCCTAGTATGTGTGGATTTATATAAATCATAACCAGATATCATTTGATTTTCTGCATATATGCTCTTGTTGCAATAAACTGTTATTAGTTAGCGGGTCAATCAATATGCAGCATATAGCATCAGTTAATCCAGGAAAGACTTTGATAAGCGACACAGTGTCACAATTTAATACCCTTTTTTGTAGGCCAGTCTGGGGGGGGGGGGGGGAGAAAAAAAAAAAATCCATACCTGCTAAAAGATAAGTGCTGGCTCAAACATCACTTTCGTATTCACTAACCTCTAATACACCCATTTGTTCAAAACAAATAAAGAGACCAGTAAATCCAGCCAAAAATGTTTATTCACCAAATTCACTTGGTTAAAACCAATTAGTGTACATTAAACACAAAAGCATCAGCTTGATGACTAAACCACAAGATGACTGATTAAATTATTAAGCATCTTATAAAATGTAGCCTCTAAAAGTTAACCTTTCAGCCTCTTAAAGTCATAGATGTGTGATAACATCGAGTTAAGCAGAGTACAGCTGGAGGTTTTGCAATATGCATATGATCAGAGGGCTGCATTTAGCTGCTGTCGCCATCCAGGGTGTGCTTGTCAAAAAGATACTCTGCCATCCTGTTGTTGCCAGCATCCATCTTGGTTAGGTTGGTGATGTGGTCACCAAGCTTCTTGATGGCCTCAACCTGCTCATCCAAGTAGTGAGTCTCCAGGAAGTCACACAGCTGTTGGACAAGAGATCGGAAATGCAAGGACATTTAATTCAATAAATTAGGATGGGACATAGGCATTAATGTACATTAAAACATGGACTTCATAACTCACATGAGGGTCTCCCTTCTCAGAAGCGACCTTATGCAGGTCCAGCAGAGCCTGGTTGACGTTCTTCTCCAACTGAAGAGCGCACTGCATAGCAGTCAGTCCATTGTCCCACTCATCTCGCTCAGGTTTCTGTAGAGGAGACAAAAACAGGTCAGTGAGCACGTGATCGCTCCCTTCCCTTCAATTCAACAGGCCCTTACAAACACGCATAGATCCAGAGCCAGTTTTGCTTATCAAATCGTTCAACATAGAAAAGGCACATTTCAAATGCAGTCACCTTGATGTCCTGAAGGACGATGCGTCCACCCCTCTTGTTCTGGAACTCCATGAATTTCTCAGCATGCTCGCGCTCCTCCTCACTGTTCTTCTTGAAGAACTTGGCAAATCCAGGAAGGGCGACGTCATCCCGTTTGAAGTAGTGAGCCTGAAAGTAACAAAATCGATAAGGAAAAGATTGAAAACACTAAGAGAGACGAGCTCGTTCACCGCAGATTAGTGGCGTCGTGAAAATAACGCAAGAGTAAACACGAAGTACAAGCTGGAAGTCTAATTTGCATGCACTGTAGCAACCAAGAGGAAAAAAAACGTCAAAAGATACGGTTTAGCATATGGATTAAAAAAAAACTAGATACTTGCCATGGAAGTGTAGGTGTATCCAGCGTAAAGCTCCAAATTCACCATCTTGTTGATAATAGCCTCGCAATCGCGGTCGTAGTTCTGGCGAACCTGAGAATCCATTTCGGCGGATTTTTTTCTGTCGTTTTAACAACAAAATGTTGGTAAAAAAATAAATATGAAATGGGATGTTTTCGTAAGGAAATTCCAACGAGATCGAAGTTCCGTTCAATCACTGTTGAAGCAAGAACCTCTCCAGATCGTCCTGAAGCTGTGAAACGCAAGGCGAGTGCGTTCATCTTATATACGCTCACAACATGACGCGTCAGTAAAACTGAAACCAGCCAATCAAAGAACGAGCTGAATGAGGAAGTGGTAAACAGTCAGCTGAGAGTCAGTAGACAAAGGAGATTATTTTTCCCATTTTCATAACTAATAGCAAGCTGAATCCAACAGGAAAAGATTTGACATTATAGGTTTGTGTGAGTAATATGTAGACAAAATGTAGACAATATCAAACATTTAAGAACAGTACATTCGATGTTGTTTTGTAACTAAACATGCATATATTTAAATTACAGGGGTGTAATGCAATGAAATATATAAAACAGAAAGAAAAAATATTGAACAGTAAACTTTATTCTAAGATCCGCGTTAACTGGGCAAAGTACAGAAATTAGAATGAAGGGATTTTTTAAAATGATAATTCAGCATGTTGTTTGCTTTTAATCAACCTGACACCTGTGCCACATTGTATTTTCACAGCAAACATTTAAGGTTGAACCTTGAACTATTTACAGAAATGATTAAATGACCCTTTGCCTTCCTTGGCACACTTGACTTTGTTTGCAGGGGTCAAAGGATCAAAGTGTGTTGAAATAGTGCAATTAAGTTTAATACGGCGTAAATAATTAATTTTAACCAACATGATGCTAATCTAAAAACATCATAATAACGTTGAATTTGCTGTGCTGTGTATATACTATGGTAAATATCATGGGCGTCTAACAGCTATATGGAGCTCTGTTGTTCACTTAGTAACTGCCTTCAGATGCAAAGGTGACAGTAACTAAGCATTTGGTGTCATAATTTGCACACGAAACCTCACTTTTGTCAGCAATAAAACATGTACGCTCACAAGACGTGGCATTGTGCTGTTTCACTGTAACTCAGCAGCTTTTCGCCTTTTCACTTCCTTATGCGTGACGTGAGTGCGTTTTTGGGTAGTTACGGGTGTCTATCTATTGCTGAATGAGGAGACACGTAATGTCATATGCTATTTTTTAAAGCTGCGTCCCAAATGACGCGCTATACATCTACCTACTCA